GGGGGTCAGTGTGGTGCCCCTCACCCCAGGGGGGAGAGGCGCGGCGGCGGCGCTCGCGTCAGCCCTCGAGGCGGCGCCGGAGGGCCTCCCCCCCTCGCTCGCCTCGCAGCCCCTCTTTGTCAAGCAGCAGCTCGGTGGGCAGAGAGATGCGCGGAGAGAGGCCGCTTGGAGCGAGAGAGCTGCTCCGCCTCACCTTGCTCTTTACACGCGGGCACAGCCAGCGCCGCCCGGGCCGCTGCCCCTGCGCCGCCGCTGCCCCTGCGCCGCGGCACGCCGCACGACCCGCAGCCCCGTGGCGCCGCCTGTCCGCAGGGACCGACGGGTTTGGCATCGGGTTTGAGGACGCCGACGCCGCCTCCGGGCTGCGCGTCTCGCCGCTGCGCAACGCCGTCTCTCGCAAGACCTTCCTGCCCACGGTGCTGCACTTTGCGGAGCAGCACCAGCAGGCGGCGTCGGGACGAGGGTGTTGAACCTCCATCGGACTCGCCGACGGTGCTTTGTTGCAGCCTCACGCTCTGCCACTCGCCCGTCCATCCACCTCTGTCGAAAGAAAGAAAACAGATCGCGCACGGGAGGCATGAGTGCGGGTCAGGAGGCCCTAAAACGGCGGGAGGGGTATAGGGGTGCCGCTGTAGGGGTGTGGAGGGGTCGGGAGGGCGGGAGTGTGGACCGTGACCTAAAGCCCTCCACCGGCAGAGGTGTCAGGCGGCAGGGCCCAGGAGGGGTGGGGGCTGGGAGGGCTGGCCAAAACGCAAAAGCGAGAGGCGTAGAGCTAGGAGGGGGCTCGTGAGGGCTTGGGAGGGGTGGAGAGCTCGGAGGGGTCGGAGGGCTCAGAGCGGGCAGAGAGGCACGAGGGTGGCGCTGGTGGGCTCGGGAGGGCTCACGAGACTAGTTGCAAATACGGGTGGTGTCACAATGACCACTTTTGATGTTTTTTTGTCCGTGTTGCTCCCAGCGCCCTCGCCCGCGCTCCCTGAGGCCATGGCTGGTGATACTAGTATGGGGGGCTACCTGGATACCGCGAGAGCGACCCATCTCGTCGACATCGTCCGATGATGGTGCCTCAAAGTCAGCCTCCGGAGGCTATCGTCGCGTCGAGCCGGCGGTGGCCGTGACATGTGGTTCCACCACCCCTCGCAGGCTTTGCCTCTGACCGCCACCGTTCCCAGGCTGCCTAATGGGATGGAAAGGAAGGCTGGGCGAGCGTATAGAAGCGTGCTCAACCTTGTCGTGGCAACCTGCACGGCAGCGCTGGCAGGCGCGATGAGCGTCGTGCCACCTGACCCGAGACGGGTCGCAGGCGTCGTACCGAGCGCGTCGAGACCGTGTCCTGATGCGCTCTGCACGGGTGAGTCACGTCGGCGTCAAAGGAGCGACGTGTGACCTGTCAGAGCTTGATCTCCGATCTCAGCGGCGTCGAGTCGCCTTCGGCGGCGACAGCTAGGATGCATCTCCTCCGTCGTTTTTCGCGCTACGGCCCTGAGAAGCTGGCGCCGCACGCAGGCGGACCTTGTGTATGCGGCGAACGCTTAAAAAGTGGGTGCTCTACGTCACTTTTTTTGAGTAGATAGTGCCGAGCTGGCCGTGACAGCGATTTTGGTAGTTTTGGGCGGGTTTTGCACCACAGACTTTTGC